TATGCAGCAAACAAGGGAGCAGCGAAGGAGAATACTATAAAGTGTCACTTGAGTGACAGCTCTGAGTCTCCTGGGGTTGCTAATAGCACATCCAAGATGGCGGCACCCATGATCGGTTTAGGGCTTTTGGATGAATGAAGGGAAGTTTTTACAAGTAAATAACATGCATACACTACGTTAAATGCACCTACTGTATAATCTTATGGGAAGAGTGTTGGAAAAATAAATGGTCTGGTGATATGGTCTCTTTAAAGGCCTTTTAAGGGAGGCTTTTCCAGGTAAATAACATGCATACAATATGTTAAATGCACATTGAAATAATTGAGTCCCATTAACACATCATGCTTGGATTAACGGAAACAAATGCGTTAAAGCGTGTGAATGGGTCCTTACAAGACTACCAAATCCCATAATCTTTTTTATTTTTTTTATTTAGAGTAGAGTAGAGATTTATTTAATTTAGACATTAATTTTTTTTTGAGATTCCACATGATATGGAGTTACCTTAAGATATTCTTCTGCCTCGCAGCCACTTCTGTTGCCCAGCTGCTGCTGTAAAACAGACTTCCTCCTAACCACGATATCATACACTTGCCGGACGTCATTCTGTAATTTCAGAAACCATAAAGATTATGGATACAATAAAAAATATGGATGTTTGCAAAACTGTACAGTATAGAAATATAAATGTAGCAGACTTACAACATCATATAATACATTATACCTTGGACTATATTATAGGCAACTAAACACAGCACCAAATAGTTACAATTTCCTTTCTTCCGTTTAACAACCCAACAATGTAGAGACTAACAGCATCCACAGGCTTGCAATACCGGTACAATGGCGGTACAAATTACAGTTCTGCTCCCTTCCATAATTCACTTGATCACAGTATAGAAAAGGGCGGATGAACAAACTGTACAAGGAACATTCTGATCACATTTCCAGCAAGTGAGCTGATTAGCAAAGATGCACAACTATCATTATTTTAGAGTTGCCTGAAGCTGAACTCCATGCAGATTTAAAAAGCAAATCTGGATTTATTTTTAGATCTTTTAATGTATTTAAAGATGAAGCAGGTTAAATGCTTGCCAAAAGAAGGTTAACTGCAGGTGAAATCCACCGGTCATGGAATTCTGAATTATCTTAGAAGCATCTCAAATCGATGTCAAGTCGATGCCATCAGTGAAAACTGGATGCACGCGGCTCAGTACCAAGCCAGTCCCCAATGTTCGCTAACTGCCCACGGAGCGACATGCTCCCCAGCCAGAGAAATGTAATACAGCCCATCAGGCTGTGGCCACGTTGCTGGAATTGGTTGTAAAGGTAACCCATCCTAGCCCTCTAAGAGGAGCCGAGAGGAAAATGATAAAGAAGTGCACCGATCCATTAAAGATGTCAGAATAATACTGATTTCTGATTGGTAAGACTGCCTCTTTGTTAATTTTTGCACCATGTTACGTACTAAAATCATATGAAAAAAGAAAGTGAAAAACAATTCTAGATACTGCAACTTGGATTAAACTCTGCATGTCCCTGCCAGGGGCGTAACTAGAAATCACAAAATTTTGTATGGGGCCCTGTGATTTCTAGTTACGCCCACCCGATAACCCAAACAGCCCACCTAAGGGTGACCCTGCAGAGCCCTCCATAGACTCTATATGGTAGTCTCTGCAGTGTCTCAGGCGGGCGGTCAAGCCCTCTTACCTGTCAGCCCTGATCCTCTGTCCGCCTCCTTCTCCTCCACGATCGACTCCTCCGTCACTGGGCCCCGCCTCCTCGATCGGTGGGCCCCGCCCCTCGATCGCCGGGCCCGCCCCTCGATCGCCGG